TTTTTTTTCTTTTTTTTTTTTTTTTTTTTTTTTTTTTTTTTTTTTTTTTAATTATGTGAGTTTCGAGAAAGAAGAAAAAACAGATGAAAGCCCCCAACAAAATTCTGTGAAAATTGATGGGTTTTTAGGTTAAAAGTTGAGAGGTATTGATGCTACCTTGTTATTCGTGTTCTTCGTTTAGATTGAGTACGTAAGTTGCGTAATTGCTTCATAGATTCTATATCTATCTATATGGAGAAGAAATCATGTAACAAAGGGGTTTTTATTTGTATAAATGGTATTTCGAATTTGGAACGAGTATGAAGAAATGAATGACGTGTGAGATCCCATATCAGCTACAGAGAGAAACGAAGCATTCCTTATCAGGGTGTGGAGACCTCTCACTAGCACATGCTGTTTAAAACTGTGAGGGTAACAACTATACGTAACAGGCCAAGACAGACAGTATGTATTAACGGTGGGTTTGAGTTGTTATGCCTGATCGGTCGTTCGAGACCATTGGTCTCTATATAGACCCGATGAAAAAGATGGGGTTACTTCTTATGAACTCGTTGAGAATGACTGTCTGTGATCTAGTTCATGATCTGACTTATTAGAAGTAGAAGACGCTATCTTGAGATCTTCACAGAATTACTTGCTTATCGAGTGACATTGTTTTTTCTGATCTGAACCGAGAAAATTATATTATCGTTCGTTTTTTAACCTTTACTTTTTCAAAATATTAAATGTTGACTTTGAAAACCTAAACAAAATTCATTGCATCTATGTTTTTATAAAATTAATTAAGAGGGTGATTAGTTAGAGTGGCCATTAATTTCAAATATAATGATTATGATTATTGAAATATGACAAGATATTGGTCAAATTTATCCTAATTCATTATTACAATAATCCATAATCTATTTGCAATGATTATGATAGGGAGACATTTTGGTAAATAAAACAAAATATTACTAATAATTTTGGTTATCTATAGCTTATGTCATTCTCCACTTTTGAAAATAATTAAATATCATATGATATTTTTGTATTTAAATAGATTGTACCATGTAGTTTGTACTTTACGGAGTAAATATATTTTTTTTAAAAATGGATTAAGTAACCTGACCGTTCAAAGACTCATGTTGGTCTGTAAGAATAGTTTTCAGTAACCTGACCATTTCGAAATAATACAGAAAGAAAATATCAAAGACTCCACTTTTGTTACTGTGGAGTTGATTTACATACGCATAAAAATTTCGGACAAAGACTGTTTTCTGTCTGTTCCATATACGTCTGCTTTGGCTCAAATGAGCATTCTGAAGAAATTCCCGTTAAATTATACTATTACTATGGTCTATAAAAAAGACTATTCTTTCTTTTTAGTTTTATCCCTCTTGCTACAAACTAAGAAAGCATTCATTCTGAACTTCATTTTTCAAAAAACTTCAATTGGTACACGTAAGAAATAGACCAATTCGGCAGCCTTTTGCTCAATTTCTAATGAAGTTTGTTTATCCAAATCGTGCAAGAGAAGGTCGAGGACATTATGTACCAAATCTTTATCCGAATCGTGCACATATGGCAACATTTAATTAAATATTGGGTCGAAATGGTTTGTTTTCAAGTATTTATTTGGCCATTGAGAATTTTTTAATTAGGTTTATTTTCTCAATTATTTCCCTACAATATTTTCTTTTTAGTTTATTAAAATTTATTAAAAAAAAAATGTACTTTTTTTTTAAAAAAATTATAATCAATAAAAATATGAATTTTGGTATTTAAGGGAATAAGGAGGCCCAAGCCCAAATTTATAAACAAAAAGCCCAATTAGTTGGGTTATGAGACTTGAATAAATTTTAATTAATTGACATAAAAAAACTATTTTTATTAAAGAATAATTCAAATTAATTGCTTTTAAAAGTTTATAATCTACCAATTTACGATATAATAGCTTATAATCACTCCAATTAAACAGAATTTATCAATATATCAATAATATATTTGTAAGTAAAGAAAAAGAAGTGAACTATAAAAAAAGGTAAAAAGTTGGAGTTAAAAAGAAAGTAAAAAGTTGGAGTTTAGAAAATGAAGGTAAATTTGACATAAGTTTCCAATTTATTAATAATTTCTTTTTCTAATTAATAATCAGATTTTGTTTAATCATGTTTATTGTGTAACATGTACAATGAGTCATCTGCGACACAACCAAATTGTATCTACACTAGGCCAAGTCCCTCAATGCAACTTCGCGTCTTATCTTGTCATCTCGATCTCCATCGACATCGCCCATATGTCTTGACGCTATCCTGAGTCTCGAGGTGTCGTCAATCGTCCCAACTCGCATAGTCATGCCATCGAGAACAGGCCCACGTGTCGCTCATCTCATCGTGGCGTCCCGAACATCCATCCATATGGGTTCTATCGAGACACTGGCCCTCCCGTACCCATACCATGTCATTTACAGATACCGTACTAAATAGTAGGTGTATCTAGCAACCCCGACACGCGAGCTAGACTGCAATATAGGCACACCCGTGTCGCTCGGTACTGTCCTTGGAAAACCCATTTCAAAGGAAGTTGCTTGAGACACTCGTCTCGGCATGCTCGTCCTTACGTATGTGCCATAGGTTAGCTCGCTTAAGCCACATGACTCAGGGGTGGTGAAGAGGTGACACCATGTACCCCTATAATACATTTTGAGCCATTTTTAAACCATTAAGCATAGACGTGATTTTGACGAACGGTCATACGGTGCCATGAAGTACCCTTTTGGTGTCTGATTGACACTAAATTTGACGAGCATTCATGTTTTGTATGGATAGACTTAACTCCAGAACCGTATGTTCGAATTCCTTCCGGAACCCTGACTTTTGAGGTTAAGGCCAAGGACCCTACCCGGCCCTTCAATGAGGCTATCTTTGCCCCTCTTGTCTATTCGATGTCTCTATCTTGCTTATGTCTCGCTTGTCTTCAATGCCCACTCTGTTGTGGTGTGTTAGATGATGCACTATCCTCCTCGGTCACATCATGACACTCGTCTAGGCCCTCATGTGGCCAAATAGGTGCCACTTGAGGGTCGCCGCTTCTCTTATCGCAACGTGAGAGTCATAACCTACTCTCTTCATGGTTAAGTTGTAACAACTAACGTTCTCGTTGGCACAACGCTTAGTGTCTGGCTCTGGTATAATTTGTAACAGCCCAATCCCACCGCTAGCCGATATTGTTCGTTTTGACCCATTACATATCAAATATTGTGAGATTCCACATCAGTTGGAGAGGAGAACGAAGCATTCATAAGAATGTGGAATCTTCTCCCTAGTAGATGCATTTTAAAATCGTGAGCATGATGACGACATGTAACGAGCCAAAGAAGACATATATGCTAGTGGTGGACTTCAACGGAATGACATGCTGATGAACAACTAATAAACCTGGTCGTGGATACTTTCCTCGAATGCAGGAGATATCAGTTTTCAATGAGACAAAATTTAGCATTGTGTGTTTGGATACTATATTGGAGCGTAACGGCAGATGGTGTTCTGTATAACATTTTTTTGGTTTTGTCAGCCTAGTGTGTTTCATCCCGCACCATTTTCTTTTATTCAAAGGTGTATATTCCCATTCTACCTAGATCCGGTACATCAGTCGTATAGTTTCTAATTTTTCGAAAAAACCAATTTTTGGATATCTAGGCATGGTTTATGTCATGATCAGTATAGGTATACTTGGATTTCTTTTCTTTGATTTGAAACATCCCAGCAGTAAATCCGCAGCTCCCGCTCTACGTTCGCCTACCGTAGATGATTGAATGGGTGGTGATAAATTTAAGGTAGTGTTCTTGGATTTGCTACAATTTCCTCATGCTATGTTTCTTACTTTCTTTTGCAATCTTTTTCTCTCTAATTCTTTGACCGGACAAGAATTCGCCAATGTTCAAGATTCACTATTTTGTTGAACTAAGAACAAGCATGTTGAACAGCAATGCTATTCTTTCCTTGATTCGTTTTGTACTCTTAACTAGAGGATGGAGCTAATGTTTGTGATGTCCTCTTAAATATGGCATCTCAAGGCTTTTATGTTGGTAATCTTTTTTCGGTGTATTTTGTTCAAGGGCTTCAAAGAAGAAGTCGAGCCTCGATTAAGGAGAATCTATTCGAGAGCTCCATAGGCCTCACATCACCAAAGAAGCAAAGCCACGAGAGCCTACGTTTCTGAATGAACCGATACGAGGGTATGTCACTGCTTTGACAAATTCAACGTTGTTTGGTGTTTCATTTGGAAGACAGCTAGATTTGTCATTTAGGGTGAAAAAGTAAGACAATTTCATTAGTTTGCCTTTACATCAAACCTCAAATTGTTTGGATATTTATTTGTCCTGTAATTGCCAATGTTTAGCCCACACGTAGAACATAAAAAACTGTTTGATGTTTATCATATCATACACGCGTCTTTGTCTTGTGATGAGCCTCTTCGAACTTGCTTCCATTTCCCTTGAGTTCACCAAATTTCCATCCTAAGGTTCTAATTATTTGATTACCACTTGCAGCCGCTTTAATCTTCCTCTGTACAATGATTGGACTGCTGGTGGCTTCCGACATTTGAGGCTAAAGCTGCGTGCAAATGCTTTACTTACAGACAAGGACTCCATAGGTATCAATTCCACCTTATGGATCAAGTTTCCTGGTAATTTTTACAGTTTTATCTATGTATGTTGTTCTTTCTTTTACCTTGTAAGGGTAAATTGTTAGTTGCCAGTATTTAATACCAAACCCACCTGTTTCATAATGCCAGTAAGCTGTGGTTAAACATGAGGAGGAGGAGTCTATTTAATTTATTAATGGGGCTAGTGGAAGAATGACATTTTTAATTGCATCGGATGCTTGGCATGCTTGCTTGCGGTGCCATCCTTCCCTTGATGTTGAAGTTTCTCAATATTTTTGGCTATTTGCAGCTCACGGGAGCTGCTTAGCCAGTTTACTTTCAAAATTTCCAACTGTAAATGCAAAGTTCAATGAAACTTAATGATGAAAAAGGCTTTTTTTTTTTTCTTTTCTTTTCCTATTTATTGCTCTGTGTTGCAATTTTTAAGGTGGTAGTTGAGAAAACCCTTTGTGATATTATGATTTTGCAGTAATGGGTGAATGAGCTTTGCATCATTTTCACCTCTCCTCTTGCTTAATCTTTGTAATTAAACTCTTTACAGTTTTACTGGATGGGGTTTGGTAAGTATATTTACTGCAACATTTTGCAGGAGAAAGAAAGGGATTGGGATGTCAGCTTTCAGTGATTATTATTGCAGCAGTGGTGTACCAATTCCATTCCCTCTTTTTTCAATTATGTCATTTAAAGTTCTTTGCTTATAGGTGGGCTTGATTACCACAATTTTCTGCCGTTTTGTTTTTATAATTGACAAAAGTTGCTTCCAGTTTTCTTCCTTTGACTCATTCGTTTTGGTTAAATTTGATTCCTTTGTGTACTCATTTTGAGAAGAAAAATGCCCCCAAGTGACAAAGATGCCCACTTATCATGGTGGGTTAGGAGAAAGGCAATCTTGGTTTACCTTGATAATTATATCTACCGCCCCCCCCCCATCTCAAACGCCTGGTAAATTAGGTGCAGAGCCTGAAATCACCTGATCTCTGGCTGTGATTTTTGTCTGTTTTTGATGAGCTGAGGCGTGTGGGTTGTTGATTAGGTAAAGGGTTTGGGAAGATGTTTCTCCAATTAGTCAAAAGTATTGAAATGTTCTAAATATTCTGTATGGTGGGAGAATCGTCATCTCGTTATCATAATTAGAACGTTTGATTATTATTCTTAATTTGGCCTTGGGGAGCTGTTAAGCATTTGATTTTTAGAATGAAAGCCCATATGGTATGGAGAAATTGGTATCATATTGTGTGGCCTCATTTTATGGCATAAAAAAATAAAGGGTATATGTCAAAGCAAACCCACATTTAAAGGACTGTAACAAATTTATAAATTAAAAGAAGAGGAGGAAGAAGAAGAAGACTAAGAAAAAAGGTGTGAATGCAACCAAAACCATAAAGAATCAAAGTGGCCCACAATTGAGATTTGAACGGTGGGGGTCGCCATTCATTTTAAAAGGGAAGTTGGGTTTAGAATCTGCCCTATTACTCAAGTAGCTTCAGCCTTTCACACTTCTTTTTTCTTTAAGCAAAGGAGGAGAGGAACGTTTTGTTTACCCACTGGATGATACAATCCAAAACGTATAAAATAAGACCGGATATGATTATATTATATGATTCTGTATTTCGTAAAAAATTGAATCATTATTAGATGGTGAGGAATTGCACACAAACAGCCATGGCAGTGAAGAATGGGAGGGACCCATGAAAGGAAAAGGATCACCCATTACCGGAATCTACAGCAGCGATGAAGAAGATGAAGAAGAAGAAGAAGAGTGGTCAAGTGGGGCTCTGGGTGTCTATGGCGGACATTGGGGGGCGAGTCTTTTATAAATATATATACAATTCTGTAATTTTCTTGCGTGTTTAGTCTTCCTCTTTTGAGGGTAAGCGAAAAAAAGATAACTTTTTTTTTTGTTGTTGTTGTAAGAAGATGGAGACCCCTGAACCTGAGCGGCGAGCCATTTGGTAAGCGGCCCAACAGGACACACACTTTTATTCTCTCTCTCTCTCTCTCTCTCTCTCTCTCTCTCTCTCTCTCTCTGTTTTTGAATTTATAATTTAATTTTTTTTGTTGGGTTGGGTGTATGTGTAATTGTGTCTCTCTAATTTATTAAATTCTTTGTCTGGAAATGGGAACGGCCTGCCCTTGTGTCTGTGGACTGTTACTCCATTTCTCCTTTCTGAGTTAATTCTTAAATTAAATAAAGGGTTACTCTGCTCTCTTTAATCTCTATTTGTCTTGGACATGGTCTTTTGTCTACCTCACATCCCCCACCTTTCCCTCACCCATTACTCGGTGGGTTTTGTTAGCTCCCACTTTCATCCAGAGGGAGATCCTCAAGCTTAAAGCTTCTTATCCCTCGCTTCCATTTCACGGATTGCTTCTTGGGTTTTCGTCCCAGATCCTTCTTCATAGATCGGACCCTTTTCCTCCTCTTCCTCTTTTTCAAATTTCAAATTTCCATCTGTTTGTTTGGTAAGTTTTCCTTCCCCTTCCCCTTTTTTCTCATCTTGGGTTTCTTCTGTTCTTCATGATGGATGATTCTGTAAATCGAATGTTTGATCTCCCAGGTGGTTGTCGTCTTCTTTTGTGGCGGAGGTTTTTAATGCGAGAGCTGAATTAGCGGATAATATGAATACTGTTTAAACCTCATATTCTTCTTCGTCTTCTTCGTCTAAACATATATTTTCTTTTTCGTTTCGATTTTGTTAAAGGGTATATCGATAGGGAAAAGGGTTTGGTTTTTGACTCCTTCAATCTGAATTCTGAACTAATCTTATCGGCGACTTCGGCGATGATGATTCTTCTAATCTCGTCAAAATTTATGGATATAAGTTGAGCCGCCTTGATTTCTCCGCCCTCCGCCCTACACCACTGCTATTTTCTAGGTTGTTTGAACTTGAAACTTCTCATTTCACTTGTTTTGATCATAGTTGGGTTAAGTTGTTTGCCTAATTTGTGAGTCTGATTTTATCGATTCTGGGATTCATTTCTGTAGCTTCCATGTCTTATTGTTTCTCTTCTTGTGGTGGCTTCGCTGAGTTCTATAACCACAATCTTGTGCTATTCCATGATATCAATGTGAAAATTTTGCCATTGTTCTTAGCTCTCTTCTAGGAATAGGATTAGGAACATGTATATGTTAGAAGAGTTTCGTTTCCAGTGAATATTATGGACTATGATATTACACCTCTGTGTTGCTAATTACTATCTCTTGTTTCTGGACGCTTACATTCTTATTATCTCTTTTTCTTTCTTTTGATGATATAATGTTATATCGATTTCTAGGCATCGTATGAGACTGCAATATCTCACAGTTATTGGATAAGATATCATTTAGCATTTAGACAATATTGCAGATTTCCAGTTTTACATTGTTTTAAAGCGCTGAAATCGGTGTTTCTTTGATGCTAACATGATGTTCTAGTTGTTGATATTGTAATTTAGAGGCTTCACAATACTTGAAGGTTGATTTGTTGCTTATTATTAAGCTCTTGGCTTGTGTTGCAATGGCTAAAACGATTGGAGAAGAGAGAATGAGTATTGCTTGGTGTTTGCATGTGCTGCTAAGGTCAATCTTTTGGGGGAATGAGTCTATAACTCATTTAGAAATGGTTATGAATGCTAGCAAATGTTACTTGGTACTTTGGTTCGAGTATCAAGTTTGTTGGTGCCAACAAAGTACCATGTTTGATCTTTGAGTTTATTTATTTAATGGTTCTTACTTGCTGATTGGCTCTTTTTGATCGATTTTCAGATTCAATCAAGTGTATGCAACTTGTTTTGTTGTCTGGAAAACTTTGTTGACCTGGCTCGTATTTGATAGGGAAGTTTACATTTTCTCTAATGCAAGGGCAAAGGAGTAGTGTTGGTTCATTGTCGGAAACCATAAACTTTGAACATGGATCTTCATCGAATAATCCTGGTAGCCAACCAGTTTACTGGAATAACATGTGGAATCCAGCAGAAAACCGAATACCGGATTATTTGTTGCCTACTACTGATATAAATACGGGATATGTAACCACGGTGAGCCATGAGCAACGGAATTTGAGTAGATGGAGCTTAGGTGAACCTAGCTCTTGTGATATGCAAACCGAGGCATTATCTGATGAACAAAAAGGTGAGGTTGGATGGTCTTCAGTGTCTCGTGATGCAGATGGTCCAGTTACAGAAACCCGACTCTGTGAGCCGTCAAATAATCCTACACTGGGTCATGTGAATTTCAGCCCAATGATTATACAAAATTCCAATTCTAATGCACTTCCTCATAGTCTAAATTTAAATGCAAGTTTTGCTAGTCATGGAGGTGAGAGTAGCCGAGTTAATGAAGGTTCTAACTTGTATAAATCTAATGGATCAGAAGAAGGACGGGCTCTATGTTCTAGTGCTTCGGATCCTCTTTTACTTCCTTCTGGAAATAGTGGACTTCCAGTGGTTGCAAATGATGGTAGAGCAGGATCTTCCTTGGATGGACGTCGAGCACCCTGTAAACGAAAAGCTATCGAGGGAAGTGTTACACAGCCCTCTTTAAGTGGAAGCAGTAACTATGCTCAGCATATTGAAAGTGGTGCTGAGCCCACTCTTCCAGTTTTTCCTGGTCGCTACAACACAGGAAGTAGGCTAACTATTCCTGCTCCACCAGCACGAATGAATCAAGCTCCTGTACGAGGTGCAGGTGAAATGACTTCCAACAGCTTCTCTGAGTCAATGGTTGCAGAAAGTTCAGATAGTTCTCAAAGAAACTATCGTATAAGGATTAGTTCATCCAATGCACAAGATTCTTTTGCACCGACTGGAATGACTGTTCGGCATCCCGGGGCCTCATCTTCCCAGCTGCCAGCTAGAATTCTACCTGCTGAGCATGTATTAGACTTGAGGCCAGCACCAGCTGTAGACAATATATCTGCTCAAGGTCAGCCACTTATGATACATGTGCCTGCTTTACCTCGAAGTCTGCAACCATATAGGTGGAATGGGAGCTCTACTTCAAGAAGTGGCAGTTCATCGAGCTCTGCAGGGGAGAGACAGGTGGTGCAACGTGAGGAGGTGAGACCAAGCAACATGGGAAGAAACGTATCTGAACATCCCATGTTTGTCCCAGCAAACGAGCTGAGGAATTTGGTCCGTAATCCATCAAGTAGAGGTTTAGCATCTTCAAACCTGTCCATTCCTGGAACTGTTGCTTCTACATCCAGGGTTGGTTCAAGTTCAGGGGTCCACCCCCCTTCTGGACCTTGGATGCCTCCTGAGAATAGTCCAACACAGTTTCCTAGAAGGTTAACAGAATATGTTCGTAGGCAGCTATTTTCTTCTGCTACAAATGAGTCTGGAGGTAGGACAAGTAATTATTCACAACGATCCGGTTCTACTTCTGCCCAGGATATGGTTCTTTCATCTGGATCTGGCCGTCGGGGGCACCATTTATTGCAACCAAGGTCCGCATTATGGATGGAAAGAAGAGGTGACAGTGGGCTTGGTCTTCCCTATTCATTACGAACCTTGGCTACTTCCGGTGAAGGAAGCGACAATAATAGACTAGTATCTGAGGTATGTTGAATTTTTCCTTCATGGAGTATCTGAATGACGCCCTAGTCGCATATGCGCTATATATCTTAATGCATATCTAAATCTTATTATCTCATCTTTGGATGCTGTACTATTTATATCGTGTCTTGTATCTTTGATTTATGATGGGTACATTTGTGCTGCATATCTATAATTACGTTTGTAGTAAGCGCCCTGGGGGGTTGTGCCTGCTTGTGGATGCTGGTGTTTGCTGGACGACTGCTTTTGAATTCTTTGAGTATCTTCTTCTGAAATGAATTTTGAAGCTCACATGTTATTGTTTTTTGTCTGCAGCAGATTCGCAATGTCTTGGGCCTTGTCCGCCGCGGGGAAAGCTTACGAGTTGAGGTAGTTTCCTTATCGGTGCCATATCATGTGCAATGGGTGCATTGGCGAATTTACATGATTGCATACAAGAAGTCATTATGCTACATGTTTGATTTTCGTCTCGATTTGTTAAAATGTGTAAATGGTAGCAAACAGCTACTTAGTCTTTGTTCATATTCCAGTTCAGTTGTGATAACTTAAAAGTGATATGAATATCCAATGTGATGGTGTATGACAGTGTCTTGTGTTTATAAACAAATGGTTCACTTCATTTTGCTCTTGAAGTAATAATCAAACATATTCTCTCAATATTCAAGGAGTGGATGATTTATGTATCAATATTAATGTTGCTTTAAAATTTTGTTTTGTTAGGATGTGATGATCCTGGACCAGTCACTATTTTTCGGGATGGCTGATATTTACGATCGGCACAGGGATATGCGCCTTGACGTTGACAACATGTCGTATGAGGTTCGACTGATACAAACCAACCGAACCCATTATTATTTCACATCTTTTTGTTGCTCTGTTAATCTATCAGTATGTCAAGTGCAGGAATTGTTGGCTTTGGAAGAGCGCATTGGAAACGTCAACACTGGACTAAGCGAAGAGACGATTGTTGCTCGACTGAAACGAACGAAGCACGTCAATGCCCCCGAACCACAGGTCGAGGAAGAACCATGTTGTGTTTGTCAGGTATCCACGAGTTCATACGTTTTCATTTGTATCGGTCTTTAAACCTGCAATAGCCTAAAACCTACCTGATTTCCAGGAGGAATACAAAGAAGGGGAAGACATTGGAATGCTGGACTGCGGGCACAAGTTCCACACACAATGTATCAAGCAATGGCTGATGCAAAAGAATATATGTCCCATCTGCAAAACAACTGGTTTTGCAAGCCGAGAATGAATGTTGGCTCGTAGAGTGAACATGGTGGCCCGTGGCTTGAACGAAGATAAGCGACCGAACAGGGGACGCCTCGAAGAGGGGGGATGCTAGGAAGTTGCTTGTCGATTCTCTACGTTCGGTCGGGAAATCGAAGAGCCACATTGAAGTTCTCTATATACATTCTACAAGTAGTAAAATTTTAAAATATGCAAGCAATCCATTTTTTGTTTTTTATTTTATTTTGGAAGAAAAATTCAAGGTTCTAATTGGCATGGAATTGTTAGCTTAAGGTTATGATGGTCAGTGAAACTAATTAATGTTTACTCCCATTGACATTAGAGATTGTTGGTCTTAATATATCATCGGACTTTCCCTTACTCAGCTCGGTTATTCACGGTCGTTTGGTTGAAGGTTTTGTTTAAAACGTCTTGGTGGGTAGGTAAGAATCGACCCGTTTTCTAAAAAATGGTTTTTATGCCTTTTATAGCTTATTCTGTTGTATCTTTTGAGTGTAATCTAACCTTCTTGACTTCATTGTGGCACAAAGTAACCAAGCCAATTCAAACATCCTAAAGGCACAATGGTATCCAATTTTTCGTAGCTCATTGGAACCATGGTTTGGAGTTGAGAGTTTTCAATGCTCTCCCACAAGAAATCTAAATTTATCGAACACAAACTAGGAGGCGGGATGTTATAGGATTTCTTCGTGCATGGTGTCACAATTACACTATTGCGGCAACAGGACAGTGATTGTATGACACTTGTTCTAACCCAACGAACGAGTTAGACGTGAGAAATTAGAATGTCACAACGACATCAGCGTATGTTCGGGCCTCAAGTCAGGTTTGCAAGAAATGTTTTAGAAAACATGAGCGATGAAATACATTTGAATACGATTTGAAAGAATGGATGAAAACAACCTTATATGACTCTAAGAAATAAAGGAACACCACTGCTTAAATAACTTAGGGTAGGAAGAAGTAACAACTAGTCATCCCTATTGTACATTTTGAGGTATTTTTAGCCATAATTGGTGTAGACGTGATTTTGGTAAATGGTTAACATAAAATAGTAAAAATCTATCTAAGATGAAGCATGTAAAAATGGTTTAGAACGGGTATGTAACCATGGACAAGCATGATCGGGACATCTGACATGCGACCATAGACAGCATGCCTTGGTCGAGTATGACCGTAACATCCTCCCCCACTCAATTGGTTGATGTCTCTATCGACGCGCTTCTAGCTGACCTCAACATTGAGGAGTCTCTTCCAATCTGCAAAAAACGGTTGAAAACCACTTCTTTGTTTGTTGACTCTCGGTGTCACAATCGTTTTTTCTTGGCAGCAAATTTGGCAATTACAAGAATGACCGTGACACTTGGCGTCTTCTGTGTAACAATTTTTTTTTTTTTTTTTTTTTAGAAAAGAGGTAATTTACCACAATTAATAAATAAAGACAAAAATAATATGAATTAAAATTAAGAAAATACAATAAAATAAGCTAAAAAGAGCATGCAAATTACTTTTTAGAAATGGGACAATTTTCTAAAATCAAAATCTTTTTGGGTCATTTTCAACCATTATCCAAACGCCTTTGGTAATTAGACTTTTGAGACTATGAAATTACTATGTTGCCCCCAATAAAGAACGGCCTAATTCCCTCGCCTCCTTTCTCCCCCTCTCGCACGCACCCACGCCGTCTCCTCTCGCGCGACGCTGCAACTTTGGTAAAGCAACCACTTCTTGTTACCAGACTACGGCAATAGTGACAGCGATTTCCAGCGACGGCGCTTGTTCTTTCCTTCATGCGCGGCAGCGACGACGGCTTCAGTAGTATTTTCTTTGATAATCTTCAACGACAGCCACGACTTCTGAAATCTTCTTTCTTCGGGTTAGCGTTGGTGAGAAACTTTCTTTACTATGTTATACTCTTTTCTTGAGGGAAAATTTACTTTCTCTTGCCTACATTGTTACTTTTTGAGGTAATTGGTTTTGAATATTTGGCTTTATTTTTATTTTTATGTTGTTTGATTTCCCACAGTTACAATCCTTATCTGATTTGATTTTAAGTAATGGTGTATACTATCCTTTCGATTGTTTTGTTGATATTGCTGACTTTGGAACCCTTGCTGCCTTTCTCATTATATGTGTTTTATAGGGAAAAAAATGTTCTGAATGATTCTGTGTACAAGTCCAAACCTACTCATTGTGCTGTTTGAATTTTTCATTTCGGACTTTTCCTTAAGATTTTAAAACACGTAAGGGAAATGTTTCTACACCCTTATAAGGAATGTCTTGTTCCACTCTCCAACTTAGGTGGGATCTCACAATCCACCCACTTGGGGCCCAACCTCTTCGCTGGTACACCGCCTAGTTCCTAACTCTGATACCATTTGTAATAACTCAATCACACCACTAGGATATTGTCCTCTTTAGACTCGTAGATTAGAGAAAGGTTTCCACACCCATGTAAAAAATGTTCTGTTTTATTCTCCAACTGATGTGGGATCTCACTCTTTGATTCTTGCAATAATCCCTCTATGCTTGGTTGAGTTGGTGACTTATTTAACACAAAATTGAAAGTTCAATCTCTGGTTAGATACAAAATTGAAAGTTTATAGAATTATTAGATACGTTTTATAGATTAGGGACCATGTTGAAATTTATGGTGCAACTTCCACCTACTTGACTCACCAGATGTTCTTTAGTTATCGACATAATTTCTATCACACACACTTGCACAGCCACTAAGCCAATGCGCGTGTGCAAAGTGATGGAATCGCTAATACCACCGCCTTTATCATGGTAACGTGGACATACCGTGAGGATGAATTATCTCTATTTAGAGACAGTCATCTTCTCTTCTGATGGTGGAGACAACGTTACTGTCCAACCTATAGCCCTTTGTGAATCTGCTTGGTTAGGATATCTCTTTTTTATGTGTTTGGATGGTCTATATTCCCAGCAGCCTTTCTTTTGCCCAAAGTCTTTCTTCTTCCTGTTGCTAGCTACTTGTGTTGAATCCTCATGTGAAGTGCACCCTTCACTCTTCAACCTTCTTTCCACTAATAGAAGTTTACTTGTAGCCTCAACAAAATTTAAAGCTTCTATGGAAGGCGAAAGTGGTTAGATAAGTTTGAATGCTTTATCTTCATCCTCTATCTTCACTTCAATCTCCTCCATCTCGGAGGCAATGCCATTGAGAACACTCAGATGATCATGAGATTTTCGTACCGTTCTCGATCCACACCGTGTGAAACTGCTCCTTCTAAGTATAGTTGATTTGAGATGCTCTTTTCCTAATACATTGCTTCAAGCTTCTCTCATAGCTCTTTGGCTATCAAAATGTCATGCATATTTGAAAGAATATTCTTAGCCAATTTAGTTTGATTGCCTTTGCAACTCTTTAATCTAAGTCCTCCTATTCTTCATCACTCATGCCAGACGTTTTTGAACCTTTGCTAAAACTGTCAGTGGACTAGAATCAATGCTTAACTTTTCAGAAGTATCACCGTTCAGTCTTCCCTTCAAAGCCTTGTGTAACCCAGGTTGTATCAGCACATCGCTGACCTGCTCTTGCCACACGCCTAAGTGCATCACTCTATCAAATTTCTCCACATCAATCTTTACTGCACTCATAAAAGCTTCACATATTTGTTTCCCTCCTAACTAATCTACAAATAGTGAACAATTCACGTATGAACAATACCGGTCATTGCTTGTTTCAAAATGTCTTTTCTGATGTGGAAGTTCAAACAATGTTGCAATCACAAAGCATACTAAAAAATCAGATAAGCAGAAAATGATCTAAAATCATTGATTAAGGCTTGATCAGATGCTGTAGGATCAGCTCTGGTTGCTATAGGATCAAAGTGGTCAATCAGAAACAGTTTTAGAAACTCTGTCATCTTGCTTGGAGCAAACCTGTTCTCCAGCTTATTGACCCTTGGGGGGCTTGCAGCTCGGATCAAGTCTTGTTAATGATGTTGCAATCCTGCCTTGTCTGGGCTCTCCTCCTGCTTTAGTAGTCTTGTTGGACAAAGATTTGAAATCAGGAAAGAGGAGAAGAAAATCTAGATGGTCAGACATTTAGTTCTAAATCTTAAACACACTGACAGGAAGATCTTTTTCATCATGTGCCGGATTCACACGCAGCCAAGCGAAGCTTGGTCGACTTTGGTGATTATTGTAAAGATGGAGGAAAGTTCAATTATGGATGAAGTGTTGATAAAGGAGATAAAATGAGAATGATCTGCATACTTTTTCTTTATCATCATTATTAATCATATATTATCTTTTTTTTTCTAATGTAAATTAACGTTATATGGGTATTTGAAGCGTATCGGAGAGATACCCCTCTTCAATCATGACCATAATCTCCTTTTAGTAGATATTTGAAGGGCAATGGAGTTACTTGCCAATCACGACCATAACTTCTTGTAGCAGACATTTGAAATATAGTCGAAAGTTAAACCTATCATGGCTATAACATTTTTTAACGGACATTTGAAGGGTGAGAAGTTTATTGTGTGGGGAGGCTATAAATACCCACATAATTGATACCTAAAAATTAGGTTTTGGATGAATGAAATTGAGCTCAAAGGACGATGCTATGGAATCGAGCCTGTTCCTGGAGAAGAAAATCAATATACTTGAGAGAAGACGAACTTTCCGATTCTACTGAATTTCATCTGTCAGTTCAGGGCAATTACCTGATCTTGCTTTTCTTCTTTCTCGCCTACTATATCTGTGATGAAGTAGACTAAAGTGGAGACCTTTAGAATATTGAGTCCCGGTGTAAAGACGAAATCATCATCTCTCTCTCTAGCCGTAACATTTTTATCATTTATAATATCTCAAGCAATTCTTATGGTAGATTCAATCGAAGCCTGAGTTTTTTATTGTGTCTAATACATTCTTGGCATATTCGAAATTCAAAATTCAAAATTAATTAACGTATTAAATATAAATATAAAATTTATGTTATTTCTAAAAAATTTCGCAAAGGATTTGAGGAAATTGTATTAATTGGAAAAGGGTAGAGGCAGACCGAAACGGCGACGTTTGGTCGGGATAAGAGGAATGATAGATAATTATTAGGTGTTTGACTTTATAAGACTGCCAGGCTGTCATTTAGTACTGTTTCCTTAATGCAATTTTTAATAATTAAAAATTAATGCTTTATTATTTAACTACTTTTATTTTCCATATAAAGAAAATATGTTCATCTTTCCCAACTAAGTTAGGTGATTTCTATTTTATGAACATGCCTAATAGAATATTTGAATATTTTAAAAAAAATTTAAATAAAAAATAATTAACATTTTAAACCATAGTTTTTTTTAAACATGTGATTCATTTAATACTATGTTCCTAACT